AAATTGTAAACTTACGTAATATTTTGAAATTTTTCGAAATATTATGCCATAAACTTTCGTAAACTTACAAAATCGTAAACTTACGCAATTTTTCGCGCTATAAAATTTCCTGATGTTTCTCTCTAATTGCTCACTGATTTTTAAAACCATATTTTAGTAACCATGATATTTTTAATGCTTTCTATTGCAACAAATTGATATGTAAAAAATTTAACTATACTAGATATTATTCATAGTATGTAAAAGAAATAAATTAGTGTAAAATTTGGTGTTTTTATATTAATAAAGTGTTTATTTATTAGTAATTTTCTACTATGCATGAAGTGAAATTAATAAATGTTTATTAGTAACATACAGTTAGTTTAATATTGAATTATATTAATCATATGGGCTGATTTGTTATTTGATTCAAGGTAAAGGTTCACATTTAAGAACCTATTTATAGCATGGTAGTCCAACGTTTACCAACGACTACCATCCAACTGGTGTCAGTAGGCAAATCTTATTATCACTACAATATGGGCTGATTTGTTTACTCTGCATTAAAAAGAGTTATTGATTGATTTTCACAATTTTTGTTACTCAAAATTGTTTTGTAATACCAAAAAATCATCTGATTGATGATCACTTGACTAAATAATAAGTTGAACAAAAATTTACATTTGCGAAACTTAAATTATTAAATGTAAAAGAGCTGTGAAAAAACCCATTTCATTAATAAAAAACCTATTTCTCATATATATGGAATTTTTAACATATATTATTAAAAAGTAAGTATATTTTAATAAAATATAATGTAAAATAAAAATTTATATAGCTTTAGTAGCTATAAATGTTTATAAAAGTATAATAAAAATATCATATAAAAGATGGTATCATAATAAATATTTTCAAACAATAAAAATAATTATTTTATGTCAGAGTTTGTATTACCATCTTTAAACACAAATATATCAAGATTCACTGATCTGTTTTCTATAATTTTAGGCTCGTTGGAAAGCCCTTATTCTGGACTTTATAGGCAAAAAAAGAGCTTACCGATTGAATTATTAGATCCGGAGATATTTACATTTAAAGTTGAGGTACGAACTTTTTAACATGCTTAAATGCAAATATCTTGGGATCCACTGATTCATTTTTTATAAATTTAGGCTCTTTGAAAAGCCTTTGATCTGGTCTATATGAACAAAAAAAGAGCTTGCTAATTGGATTACTGGATCTGGAGATATTTACGTTTTAAGTTGAGATACAAATTTTTAACATATATAGTAAGTGCTAAAAATTATATTAATTTAAAAGAAATATTTACCAAATTATAGTATAATAAGATTAAATAAAAATTTTTTAATACTCATTTCCAATTTACTGTATATTATATAGTATTTTGTATAATAAAAATGTAATAAAATTAATATTTTAATTAAAGATAGACAAATCAGCTTATATGGTAATTTCATTTTCTATGCTTAAGTAAAGTTGTTTAACAGGGTTATATTTTAATTTTTATGTGGTGGATATAATATTTATAAAGAAATTATTGTATATAATTTTGTAAATTATTTATAAAAAATTATAAGTATAAAATTTTTAATGTTATAATAAAAGTTTGCTTAGCAGAATCCAAAATCATTTGCTTATTGATCATAGTAAAAAATTTTGATTTTAATGTGACCTTTATATGTATTATTCAGGGTCCTATTAGGAGTACCATTTAATAAAATCTCTCTCAAAATTTGTATAATTCGAGCTGAAAGTATTATTGAAATGGAAATGGATATGCATAAGGATTTTATTGATATTTTTACCAAGAAACCTAAAGCAGAGCACTTCCATTTCACTGTTTACCCCAAATAATTTTCTGTATCATATAGCAATATATTTACAATTTTTATGTAATGTAATAAGCCAGCTTCTGGCAAGGTTTTTTTTATTTTTTAAATAAAGTATATATTATGTTAATCTTGTCATAAATCTTGAAAAATGTCACATGTAATGATATAATATAATCGTCTGATAATTCTGTATTACATCTTAATTGCATATATATTTGGCAAAAGCATTATGAATCAATATAAATCATTTCTCTTATAAACTAGCTTTACCTGTAACTGCAGTCAAGTGCATATTTTTTTCGTAAGCACAAACATACACATATAAAAACCATGTTTTCACAAGCTTCTTCACCCGCTTTGTCTGCTTCAATAACGAAAGAAATTTCCACTAGAACAATATCGGATGTGGTTAAAGATTTTAATACAGAGAAGATTTGAAAAAGAAAAACTTGAAGCTAGAAAAGTCCTATTTTGAAATTTTACGCAAAGAAGAAATTTCTGGCTTTACCTTTCTTGATATAACTAAAGAGGATTTTCAAAGTTATGGCTTAAAAGCTGGTCCCACAATAACACTAGCAAAATTTATTGAAGGTCTCAGCCAGAAGTTACGAAATTATTCCTTGCTTAAGACTCTTGATGACTTGAAAGAAATATTATGTAGAAATAAGGTCAATGGGAAAGATATAACAAACATCAAGCAGTTTACTCCTAGTAGGTAATTAATTAATTTTCAAACTGACTAGATAGCCATATTAACTTTATTTTTCTCTGTAATTTTCAAGGAAATTAATAATGAAGATAAGGCCTTCAATCACTGTATGAAGGATATAATCTTAAAATTTTCAAATGTGGAAACTATGACTGATGTCAACAAGGTAACGCACTGTGAATTTATTTCATTGATTCTCTATGCATCCATCGCTATAGCTAAAAAACTTACCTCCCAAAATATATTTATAGTTTTACAGAAAAATATATCTGGTGAGGATGCAACAGGCAGAGTAGACTATGTAATCAAAAGTCTAGAAGACCTCCTATGTATCACCAAAGGAAAGCCTCGTAATATTAAAATCAGATATGTGCAGGTAAATACTACTCAGATTTGTGTTTTAGAGCATGTCATATGTGATCACACCAAGCCGAAAGAGATTCAATAATATTAACGCATTTTATTTCTTAGAATCTGGCACAACTTAAAAGTGCATTCCAGACCAATAAAAAGAAGTGGACTGTGAATGATCAAGCATTTGGAAATGACTATTTTGATTATATATATGGTATTGTGACTACAGGCACAGAGTGACATTTTATCATATATACTCCTGATAGTATATACTCTACGAGTGGAAGCGAATATCAGATTAATCTTACAAAATCTGCCATCAAAGAAAATCCAGAGTTACTCTGAAGCAATGTGAAAAGGGTAATAGGTATTATTATTGGGCTGTTAAAAGATTGTGTTAGTGTAGATAGTTCTCTAGCTAGCAAGAGGGCTAAAATCAAAAAAATTATCAAAAAATAATATGTATTTTGGGCAAGAACATTTGTATTTATTTTTCGCATGTAATAATAAAAAATTTTTCTTGGCAAAAGTCCAAATTGGAACAACTACCCCAACGGCACCCAGAAAATTCTTCGAACTTGGCTGGCGTTATGCACTAACACGTGATCGAAGAATTTAGGATGTGATGAATAAAACGTGACAAATAGAATTTCATCTACTTGAAAAAATCCAAATCCCTCAGATAAATATAAACAGTGAAACTTGGACAGGGTGTGACGATGTGATAAATAAAAACAGATCACGTGATCAAAGAATTTTTCTGGGTGCTGTTGGGTTATATAATTGGAATGGGGGCGCACGTGATTCTTTTAGGTTATGAAAAAACGTGACGATCAAGCCGATATGGATTTACCCAGTATGGTGCGGCGCATCTATACTCATCAACAGTCCAAAAATTTATTTTAGGCCGATCTTTACCAAATTAAGTAATAGTTTAGCCTTATTTGGTAACATCCCCATTGATCATTGCGTGATTTATTAAATTAGATTTACCTGATTGGCTCAAATCGTAATCACGTGAAAAATTGATTCCGAAATTTCACTATTTTACATAGACTTATATAAAAAATACTCCAACTTAAAAAGCTAATAACTTTTAATCTATAAAAGTTAGAGGAAATTAAATCTGATAGAATGAAAGAGAATCCTTTAATCTATAATTGTATCAGTTTACTTTTTCAGTTTAACATAAAATTTTAATGAGTTATTGAAGTTTAAAAATACCCAATTTTCATTTGATGAGTATAGATGCGCCGCACCATAT